TGCACCCTCGGCTGCCCTCACGCTCTGTCCTAATAAGGAAAGGGGGTGTGCCGTCCAGGAGCCCTGGGCCGCCGCCCACCGCCTGGCACTCGCCTCGGGGGCCTGGCGCGGGGTGGACGGTGGGGGTGGCGAGGGGCTCCTCGGCCAATCGCAGAGCCCCGCGGTGGCCTCCTGACGCTGTTCGCCGAAAGATGCTGCAACCATGGACAGCGCCCAGAAGTGCTAGCCAAGTACCAGGGGCTGCTGCAGAGTGACACACTGCAGCAGGCCCCACCGCGGTCCGCGAGGGAAGGTGGGACGAGGGACAGGCCCCAGGAGAGTGTCTGTCCTCCGCCAGCGCCTCTCTGGCTGGCTGGCACAGCACAGAGAGCCCCAGCGGTCACTTAATGAGCTGGTCTGCTGGCCTGCCCAGAGATGCACTCAGCGAGATTGGCGCTGGGAGGGAGCGGGAGAGGCATTACTGAGCTAAGAGCAGTACGACCTTGATGGATAATAACCAGAAGAGCAGGCGGGGAGGTTGTGCTAGGCTGCATCTCTCCTCCACCCTCCACGCATGCCATCCAGCAACCGACATCCGCAGTTCACTACAGCTGGAAGCCCTTTCGTGGGCCCTGGAGCTAATGGAGCTGTACCCTTCTGCAGCTTCCATCCGCTCTCGATATGTATGCTCGGGGAGACCTGAAACCACTCAAGTTTGCAGTTTTGCGGACCAACAGCATCAGCATCACCAAGCTCATTAGAAATGCACTCTCCCGTCTCCACCCTCCACCACAATATGAGTTTGTTTCTGCAAGACTCTCAGGTACGTCCATGTCCATTCAAGTTTAAGAAGCACTGCAATAAACATTTAGGTATGCAGCTGCCAGCCTATTTTAAGCCATGAAGTTTTGTCTGCGTTCACTACTCTTAGCAGGTCCCCAGGCTCCCTTCTGCAGGGAGAACTTTGCTTATCCGCCTGTAACTTCCTGTTCAGCCTATAGATGCCTCTTCAACCTGGCTTCTGCATCAGCCCTCAGTACAGGGAGGGCCTCTCCAGCCTGGCTAACCTCACTGCATACTCACCTGAGGCTTCCAAAACTCTGAGATCAGGATTCTGTTCCAGTCCAACTAAAAGGCATCTGTGGTGTGAGAGCATAGCAACAGCCTGGCATCGGTGTGACACATGTGCGGCACCCGCATGAGGCTCCAGTTCTCAGTGACCTTTAGCATGTGTCTGAGTTACGAAGTTCTGCACTTTTTCCACAGCATTTCAGGCATGGGGCTTCATGTGTTTAAGACTTTACACACCTACCAGACCCTCCAAGTTTGCTCAGGATATGGGTCCAGGTACCACACTTCAAGAATGAAGCTGGCTGTCCTGAAAGTTTCCCCTGACACCACATCCCTAGACTGAATCTGTGCCCCTTCTGTGTTTTCTCAAAGACACTTACATTTTCGACAGTGTAATGAATTGCTTGACTGCATCCTCCCCCAACTGGTGAGCTCCATGAGGACAGAAACCTTGCCCACCTCATTCATGAATGGATCCCTAACACAACACATATTTACACATACATAGATGCTCATTTAAACATATGGTAATGGATAAATGTGTGCAAGGACAGGATGGTTGTGTTCATTTTGTCCTCTCTGTCTGACTCTGTGTCTCTGTCACTATTTCATTCCGTGTATGTACTTACATGCCTTTGCACTGAATCAGTTTTCATTCAGAAAGCTCTAAAGAGAAGAAATCAGCAGTCTACAGATCTGATTAGAGGAGAGTGATAGCAGTATTAAGCTCCAGGCTGTATTCAGGTGATGAGCCATGCGGAAGCTGCAGATCCTATCTTCTTCCTTTGCTGACTTAAAGAATTTAAAACCATACAGATAAAGTGGAGCATACAATTCAGCTAACACTTCTGAGAAAAATCCCAAGAACCCCTTGCCTTTTTTTTTTTCATTTTGAGGTAGGGTCTCACTCTGTAGTCTAGGCTTGCCTGGAACTATATAGCACCAGCTGGTCTTGAACTCTTCATCCTTCAACCTCCCAAATGCTGGGATCACAGATGTGTGCCCCACACATAGCTCTGACTTCTGATCATACACATTCTGGGTAGGTATTACACTAGGAGAGCAGGGCTAGAACTCTCCTCTCTTCACTTCTTCCTTCAGCGTATACGCAGCCTTGGCTATGCTCAGGTAAACATGTCTGACTAAAGATGTGTAAGGCATCTTCAACAAGTTCACAAGCTAGTAACTATAATACAAGGATAAATGCAGCAGCTGAGAAATGTATTGGATATGGTACAATTTGGGTACAGTATGGTATGGCAAGCAAAGTCTGTACCCTTGTCTTTGCTCTATGCGGTGTGCTAAATATGACTGAAAATTCTTTGATAGTTCTACTGTTAAGAAGTAGGATCTATATTCTCTGTCCTTGAATCTAGGAAAACTATATGGCATCATCAATGAGCAAATGGAGCAGAAATGAGAGCGTGTCCATTCCTAAGACTGGAAGCTTCCCTGTTTTCCCTTTGGGATGCACACTCCTGGAACTTGCCTAGCATGCTGAGAGGAAGCTCAAGCTACCAGGAGAGGCTCAAGCATAGAGGATCTGGGGCCATTTGCTAGCTATGTAGAAACATCATCTTAATTCTCCAGCCACAGCCAATTATTCCAGTGTGCACCAGAGGTAAACTGTCTGCTGAGCTCCACTGAGCTCCTGACTCATACATTTATGGGTATAGTAAAATGAGCGTATTATAAGCCATGAGTGATTTGTTTTGCAATCATAGATAACAAGAGTTATCTATGGGCTCCTAAACACTAAGCAATGTTAAGTAAATTTTTCTTTCTGAGCTTCAGCAGCGTCATGTATAAAACAGAAATAATCTTCTGTCTTATAATTATAGTGATGGCTACATGCAATTATATATGCAGTTGCAGCATTCCTAGTCAGTAACTGACATCATCGCCATTGTCAAGTCTGTGTCAAGAGAAGAAACAACACAATAACTTCAGTGGAAGGAAGGGGCTCTGTGGCACACAAGGGTGTCCCCAGGTTGACTGTGAATGAATCAGCAGTCACTGAAATGTGAAATGACCTCATTATCTCATTATAGTTTGTACCTGTCCTCCACCAAATAACACCTCCAATGGCTTTGCTCCTTTGGCAGCCCAGATTTTATTATTATTATTTTTTTTAATTGAAAGAAGAGTTTATTTGAGCTTACAGTTCCAGGGGAACTACAGTCCGTCATGACAGGGAGGCATGGTGGCTGGTGGTGGCTAGAGCAGGAGCAGCAGAAGCTAAGCTCTCATGTCATCACACAGGCACAGGAAGCAAGAGAGTGACTGGAGATTCGGCAAGGATTAAGAACTCTCTAAGCCCACCCCCAGTGACGTGCTTCCTCCAGGATAGCCACACCTTCTAAGACCTCCCAAAACAGCGCCATCATCTAGGGACAAAATATCCAAATACTTGGCGCCTATGGGGGACATTTTCATTCAAACCACCACGTTCCACCCCCTGACCTCCATAGGCTCATGACCATATAAAATGCAAAATGCAGTTAGCCCAAATTTAAAAGTACCCATAGTCATTATCAATCTCACTACTATTCAAAAGTCCACAGTCCAAAGCTTCTTCTGAAACTCGGGGAAATATCTTAACTGTAAGCCCCTGTAAAATCAAAAGACAAATTACATACTCCCAACATACAGTGGAACCAAATACACATTACCATTGCAAAAGGGAGGAATGGAGGCATAGTAAGGAAATACCAGACTAAAACAAGACCGAAAACCAGCAGGACAAGGACTAAATCCAGTAGCTTCATGTCTGATTTCTGGAACTTTACTTCCAAAGGGCTTAGATGGCTCACCTCTCTGACTTTGCTGCATGCAACATACATCTCTTTCTTTGGTTGTTACCACTCCCTGTATACAGGTCTTCTTGGTAGATACCTCACAGGTCTGGCACCATGAATGTCTTCTTGGGGTCTCTATTGCCAACCAGGCTTCATGTTCAAAGCATCATGCAATGGCCTTCTCTATGCAGAAGAACCCCTGCTGCATGCTGCCTGGCCTCAGTGGCTCTCTGAAAGCACAGAGGAAGAATTGATGACCCCTTCACTCTTTCATCTTTCATAATTCTATAAAGCCAGCACCAGGTGAATGACAATGCCAAGTTTGACTGCAAGTTTGGGATGGACTCCAGCCTGCTTTATCCGTTTTAGAAGCTTTTCTCTTCAGTGGTCCCTGCAGCATTTTTCATTTACAAGTTGGAGGCTTAACCGGGTGTGGTCTTGCCCTGGAGGCACCCACTCCATTGTTTAAGTTTGAATCTCTAGGCCCCTCCTTAATCACTTTAATCGCCTTATCACAGGGATCCAGACCAAAGCAATTTATAGAAGGAAGAGTTTATTTGAGCTTATGGTTCCAGGAGAATTACAGTCCATCATGGCAGGGAGGCATGGTGGCTGGAAGTGGCTGGAGCAGGAGCAGCAGAAGCTAAGCTCTTACAACACCACACAGGCACATGAAGCAAGAGAGCAGCCCAGATTTTTAAACTGAGAAGGCTGTTTCAAGAAAGGCACTACAGATGTTTCTCAGTAGTAACACACCCATCTGCACTGTTCGCTGGTAAACTAAAGTTCCTCTGGACTTAACCTGTTTCTACATTCTCAAGTCACTCCTTTCCACCCCATGGGGCACTGGTTCTTTTGTCACTGGCTCCCATATGTACACTGGCAAGTCCACCTCAAGATGTTCTTACTGTTGTGGTGTTACTATGAGGACAACTGGGTTTCCAGTTCCAGGCCTGCTTCCCTGCTGCACACACCAGTGTACTGTCAGAAAGCTTAGCTGTGAGATCAGGCTGTGTGCTTTGGGGCAGGTTAAGTGACTTCTCTGGTAATTAGTCCACTCACCCAGAAAATGAGGAAAATGATATCTGCCTCAGACTCTCTAGAATTATTATAAAAACCAAATGCGAATATTTCTATGCATACTAGAAAATA